GTGAGCTATGCAGTTGTCCAGGGGGCAGGGAGAACACAATATAACTAAGGGACTACATGACAGGAGAGAGAACAGAATGAGCAGCTACCTAGAACAGAGAATGAACATAAAGGGACAGGGTCGACTCTGACAATTACAACCATGTTCCATTTCCAGTTTCTCCATTTGCAAAGGCTCAATAGTAATTGGACATGTGACTGACAAGCAGTTTCATGGTTAGGTGCGGCCCCTTCCCTCATTATTCCATGACAATTGTTTTTTGCAAATAAATGGTTATATATAACATGTTCTCTGTTGAGCTGGTAACAGATATTTCCATAACCTGAATGGTACAGCAAACTGCAGAGCCCTTCCCCAGTGGTACTCAGACAGTGTGGCTCAGTTTGGGCCTGTCGGCATACAGCTCTGCTTCTGTTTGGTTCAAAGTAGCCACATTTCCCTTCGTCCTTCTGGCTGCAGGGGAATCCATGCACATTCAGGTTCCTTCAGACTCCTCGTGAATTTTTACATTCCTCTCTCACTGAGCTTTGCATTCCCACTCGACTTCGGCCCTGACTCCAGTCGGCCATCTGGCACCATTTGACCCACGACTCTCCTGCCTGCTACAGGGGTCCTTCTTTGTTTAATTCAACACCCATTCCTGCTCCCTGTGTTTCTCCTAGTCGGATCTGCTCACTTTAAACATAGATCGTCATTGTTACAGCCGCCATGATCCCAATGTTCTCCCCGAAGCTCTACAGAGCTGATCTTTCCATCTGTTCTGTCTCTGATTTCTGTAGTTACCATCAGCTATAGCAACCATAGCTGTTCTCTCACATTCTACCCCTTGTCCTCTTCCATAAGGTTCTTCCTGTTGGCCTTTCTCTTCTCTCTTATCTGGATCTCTTTTTGGTTTACAGTATGACTCCTTTTGAAGTCAGCTTGCCATGTAGCCCTTTTTCTTCATAATATCCTTCAGCTTTTATTATTGTCTTGCCCGTTCCATTACCTCTAAGCAGGACAGTAATTTATGGGCAGTTTTCAGTAATTTCCCGCATCCCTCACTCTTTCCTTCCCTCCCCTGATGAGCTATACAGGTACTTTGCTTCTCTGTCTTAGAGTAATGCCTCTATATTTTTCTTGTTTTGCTCCTTCTTTTACAACTGTCAAAAACAAAGGGTCCCAGTGCTGTAATGTCACTGGGTATTGAGTGTGACAGTATACATCTCACCCCCTGTGACGGAACCGCTGAGTTCCATTGATCTCCAGAGACATCTCAGTTATTGCTAAGACTATTGATCCATTCCCTTACTGCAAAACACTCATTTACTGGGATGCAGCCCTCTGAGTAAAATTCAGTCATGCTTGTGACACACACACAGACACACACAGTCAATCCCTTATACACCATTCAATCCGTGCTCACTTAAGAATCCACGCTGGATTGGTAGTTTGAGCCAAGTCTCTTATTTGTGATTCCACCTTCTATCCAAGCGGTAAATAAATAATGAGCACATTGTTGAAATTCACCTTGTATTCGATCTCCCTTTCGCCTCTCATATGCGCTCATTCTCCATTCTTTATGAAAAATAATGTCCATTCATTGAAGTAAGCTTCCTGGGCAAAGGCAAATACTCAGCTTTAAATGCCAGCGCATGTATTGGACAACGTTTATATCAGAGACTGGCATCAAATGAGGATAAATAACATGACGCCGTCTCTCGCCACTTCGACAGCCACGTCTCTCTCTCTGTCCGTTTAATTTCCTGCACGTACGCAGATTTTCAATTACGATTTTCAGAGAGAAAAGAGGTTAAAGATCTAACTAATTTTGCCCCCACTGCAGCTCATCCCCCTCCTCCTCTGGTGTGTCTGTTTTTTTTTTTTATATTGGCACATCATGAGAAACAGCCCCGGCTCCCCCACCAAGGTCAGCCTGCATTCTGGCTGAGTCTCTCTCTGCTGCGCTGAGGCCTGATTGGTATGCAGGCACGTATGTCTCTAAGCAAATATGTGACACTAAGTTTATAGCTGCATTCTAGTACGTTAGTGGAAACAAACAACCTGATTTGCCTGGAGATTTTCCTCATTACGTTTAGAAATAAAAGCTATTTCAGTGTATTCAGGTATTCTGACCATGCAGCCAAACGAATCCATATGACTGGGGGCCTGGGGCACAATTATTTTTAAATTTGCAATAAAAATGTACATTTACTGAAGTTCCACAAAAACGATTTTCAAGTTCTGGTTGTTTCTTTTAATCTTCAGAGAGAAAATCATGAATGCTGCTTACAGTTTTGTCACAGTGAACCTTGTGAATTCTGTGTCTGAGTGAGTCCAGGTGTGTTCCACTCTGCCTGTCTGTCTGCTTTCCTGTCTGTCTCCCTACCTGGTTCTCTGTCTGTCTCCATACCTGGTTCTCTGTCTTTCTCCCTGTCTGTCTGCCTGCCTGTCTGTTTGTCAGTTTTTCTTTCTGTCTGTCTGCTTCTCCCTGTCTGCCTGTTCCCCCGTCTGTCTGTCTGCTTCTCCCTGTCTGCCTGTTCCCCCGTCTGTCTGTCTGCTTCTCCTTGTCTGCCTGTTCCCCTGTCTGTCTGTCTGCTTCTCCCTGTCTGCCTGCCTGTCTGTCTTTGTGCTCGTGTGGCTGTGGCTGGGCGCCCACACTCAGCTCGCTTCCATACATTTCCACAGCGCGAGCGTGTGTGAGGCAGCCGATCTGAGGCTCACTGTGAGAGCGCTGATATGGTCGTAAGCCAATTGAGTGAGCCGCTGATGCCATGTAATCCGGTTACCCACGGCATCCCACCAGGGGCTGGGGGGGCGGGGGGCGTCTGAGCTTCAGACGGGGTGGGGGGGATGGCTGTGTGTGCACGTCCTGAGGTGGCCTTCTGCAGTTCCTTTCTCACATTAGGGCTTTCAAACTAACATACCTGATGCTGCTTGATAGCAAAGCAGGGATTCAAACACACAAAGCATTTCCTGCCTCTCCCTGGGCTATTTAATACTGCTCTGCTCTGGGCTCAGGCAAGCGGGAGAGAGCAGCAGGGAACAACTAGGGTGGCATCTTCTTTACAAGAATAAGGACCCCTTAATACACTGAGTATGTCCCCGTGGACTTTTCCAGACACCAGCTAATGACTCTACTTACAAGAACTATTGTTCCTATAAAAATGTACCATTTAATGTTGACAAAGTAGAAAATAGTTCTAAGAAGCACTGTCAAGAAATGGCACAGGAGCAAGGTGAATGCCAGGGTTGGACTGACACAAAAAGACAGTTACTGGGAACAAGCAGAGACTGATCCTGAGATCCACATGAGCTGTCCACCACCCCAAGAAATATACTATAAACACAGTTAGGCTGTGGAACACACAGATTGTTGACTTCTGATGGAAGGTGAGTTCCATTGAGTCCCTGAAGGATTTTATGGCTGCAATATCACAGAAGCCTGCTTACAAACATTCTCATGATGAGCATTTCCAGTTACGTCTTGTTCCCACGGCTAGAAACAAAACCAGTCATTTTTATGGCTGTTCAAAGATAATTGGAAAGTCCTCCAGCGTTATTTTGCCGGCTGAATTGTACAGAACAAGTGCTACTGGAGACATAAGTGCGAGTGGCGGGAGGCCGAGAGATGCAGCAAATTTAATCAACTGATCTGGGTATGTTTTATGTATCTGGAGGTTCACCAAGAAATCCTTGGCCTCTCATCTAACCTATAGCACTAATCTATCCCTTCTGCCATAAAGCTCTCTTCATCACCCAAATTCAACAGAAAGAAAAGGCGGCTGGAAAATCTGCTCTATTGCTGCAGATCTGGTGAATGATTGATGACAGACCCAGTGAACCTCTATAATGAAGGCAGCCGTCATTCATCCCAGTTGTAAAATGCGACGTGATAATCTCCCTTGTTCTTCCCTCATATGTCCCTCAGTACTTTAGGGGAGCAGTTCACTCGCTGCCCTTTTCTCCTCAATTCACTGTCTCTGTCACTGTCAGCAAGCAGAAAGCTCCCATATTTACCTTCTCTGGAAGTAGAGTTCATGCAAACCTCTGTCATCAGTAGTTACAATATAATACATATTCTCTGTTTCTCCCCATACATTCCAGTTCTACAGATTGTATCAGTAGTGTACCCAGTGATGCTGCACTGTTAATCTTGGAAGATTATGATAATAGATAGATAGATAGATAGATAGATAGAACATCCAATGGCATATAATAAATAACTGTATAAATAAATAATTGTATTATTAATTTAATGTAATGGTTAATAATGCAGTTATACACCAATAATATGGATTTATAGGTGGGATCAAGACATGCTAAGTATTGTGATGGGTTTGGAGCGACTCCTGCTGTTCAGTCCTGTGACCACAGGGCCGCGCGACACACGTGACACGAATGAATGTATGTTTTATACAGGGAAAGGAAGACGACTTATATAGGACAATGGAAAAGTGTGGTTCTGCATTATATTTAAGTGGGCCTTTTGACCACATGTGAAGTATTGCTCATAGGTTTTTCTCTGGTGGCTTTGCACTCAGCTTTGGTCTCTGATTTGTCAACCCCACCACTGAAACCGATAAACTCATCGTGCAACTCGAAGTAACAGGACTTCACTGGTGTGTTATTACAGTATCACCGGAATGGCAGCCGCTGACCGGAGACCTGGAAGTCAGTACATTTTACAGCCATGTCCCACAGTCTTTTTATTTTGCCCCAGTCCCTCTTTCTCTGTGCCTCACGCTTGCCGACGCCGAGCCTCACCTCTCTGACACGCTCAGACGTGACATCAAAACACAGCCATGTCTTAAAATTTACCTACAAAGCCAAGCATGTGAAGGTCTATACCCACATAGCTGGAGAAAGAGAAGGGGGAGAGAGAGAGAGAGAGAGAGAGAGTAAAAATGGAGAGAGAGAGGGAGGAGGGGGAGTGGCATATGAGGAAATGGCAGGGAAAAAAATGTGGGCGGGCAAAACCCAAAGCCCACCAGAGAGAATAAAAAAGCAGGACTGGTGGATGTAGGTTTCTGTTGCATGCAGGAGAATCGAGGCAGGGAGCAGGCGTGATGCGGGGCCTGCGTGGGCTGCCGGGGTTTCTGTGGAGGGACGGCTACACCGCCGCGCTACGCCGCCGCGCTTTGCCACGCACGGAGGGACCCTGCTCCCCGTCTAGCCTGCGGGCGCTCTCACAGGATTTCCACCCTATTTATTCTTGCTTTTCATCCTCATTTCTCATGAGCATCCTTCATCACAGTTGTAAGATTTCCCTGTACTTGACAAATTAACTGGATTTTTAATAACCTGACAGACCAAAAAAGCAATTTTTATGGGCAGTTTGGTGCTTTGACCATTTGTGATTTTCAGTGCTCTGCAAAGCAGGATTAATTAAACAGCCCTGTGAAGACTAATTTGCAATCATTAGGAGGGTGGACAGGAAGGAGGACAGGTGGTCGTCCCTTTAAATACCTTTCAACCCTCCCTCCCTCTTCGCTGCAGGTACAGATGTGGGAAGGACATTTTCCCACTTATCTCCTTTGGATTTCATTGTCTTTTTGATGGGACTGGAGAAACAGAAGAGATGAAGTGTTGAAGTCTGTTGCTCTGGTTTGGTGACTGACAGAGAGATTCATTTCTCATTTTGTGTCTGTCTGCATACCTGCTTGTGGCATTTCAAAACCATCTCTTTCTTTTTCTCTTTTTTTTGTCTCTTTGAGTACACAACCCATTTGCATTGCCTGTGTGTTTCACATGAACTGTTAGTAGTGGTAAGGTGAGGGTTTGGCACTAAGTCATCCTTTCCTGTTCAGGAGAAAGATAACAGTGGGTGAGAGGTGGGTAATTTTTTTGTTTGTTTAGCACCTGATGTGTCTGAGACAAACACACATGCACACAAATGCACAATTCAGTTTTACTTCTGCAGTGACTGACAATTCACATTTTCTTAACCTTTTAATGTCTGTATGTATGAGAGAGGATTAAATCTAATAAAAGCAGTAGCAGATCGCTGAGTTTCACACTGAAGGAAAGACCTGAACAAGGTTTAACCCAGCACCTGTTTGCTACAAAGGTGAAAAAGGAGACTGTTCTCACTGATATCCTGACTGTTTCGGTTTTTTGAAGGATTAAGATTACACTCTGAGGTTCGGCTGCATTGCACACGGCAAACAGAGAAATATACTTTATTCTGCTGTACACCCTTTTACGTGGATTGAAATATAAATGCCAGTGCAGATTAGAAAGTTAAAACTGTTGTTTTGGAATAGATTTAAAATGAGGCATTGTAGATAATTAATACGAGTCAAAAGAAAAAAGAAAAATCAGAACAGACATATTGCACATAAACATAAATATTATCACTGGGTTAAATACAGATTTTACAGGTAAAAGAAACAGATCAACAAGGAAGCAATTTTTTATTTTTTTTTGTAGTTTGTGTTATTCTGTGATTGGTAGCAGGCACATAAATGATTCTTTTAACATATTCTGTTAGTTCTTTCAGACAAGGGATTGTTTTAAGCCTCCTGGATCAATGTCATGACTTGGGTGTGCATTGTGTTTCCCTGGTAAGCAGAAATCAAGAGGCAGGCTTTCCTATTTAGCCCGAGATAACGGATTTTACATCATGACAGCCACACGTAGCAAGTGCTTATTTTGTTATCACCATATATTTTCCTGGATTTCGATTTTGTCATTGACAGATTGAATAATTCATAGAAGTTCTAGCTGATGGGTTTTTGGCTGATTAAACTGACGCATACAAGCTACAAGTTAAACCGTGATTCAATTACAGTGAGGGCAATAAGTCACTGCTGCAAATATGGAATGTACACTTCATCTGGAATATTGATTTGGAAAACATCAAGTTAAACATATGTAAGCACTTGAGTAGAGGACTGAGTAAGTCCAACAGAGCACAGTAAATTGCAGTGGGACAGGACTTAAATGTACACTAACGTTAAATAAAGTAAAAGCCTTTCTGACTGTGATCATGTAAACTGATGTTTAAATTCAAGAGCTATAAGGATTTTAACCATTGTACTGAGAGAAAAAGGTATAGATGGTAAATAGCTATTGATTAACCTGATTAATTGGTCTACTTAAAGATTAAAAGGAACCACAGCAACAGTGACTCTGGAACATCAACACAAAAAACAAATGTGACATTTTATGAAAATTCTGTAGTATTTTTAGCAAATGAAGCAGCGGGTGAAGAACAAACATTTGACGGATTATTTCTCTGTTGATTTACTCTTAATCCGACAGAGGAAATCCAAACAGCGGCTGTCTGTTTGCAGAAAGCCATCACTAAGGTGCTAAATGAAAATATCACTCTGTCCTGCAAATCACTAGTGTATTCAGATAACAGGGGTACAGTGTACTGTAGAAAGCCCAGTGACATTATTAAATGTAATTGTAAAGGAATGTGAATATTTTGCTTGCCAGGTTGTAAGGGTCCGAAGACCAAATGTATAAAAAGTATATGAACGAGCATTGAAAGTCTTAAATGGTCACATCTGAATAAGTATATGACCTTTGGGAAATGGAGCTGGGACTGTGGGAAATGTAAATACGTAAAGCTTTGCCTGATTTGTGAGCCCACCTGTGTCTCAGTCTGAATCCACCTCTCCAATAGCCTCACTCTTTCATTTTCTACCACTTTCTCATCCATAAATTTCTCCACACTTTTTTTCAAACCAAAGCCAGCAAACAGACCTCTAAAACTAATTGAACGCAGATCCACATGCGTGAAATGCAAGCAGCGTGTTGCTGTGTTTATCCCAGTGAAGGAAGTCGACTTCATGGAGACACACACATCATGATAATGCTGGAGCACCTCCCAGCTAAAGATGTGCTTCTCATTAACTGCATCTGTCTCTCATATCTTGTATTTAGATAAGTATTTGTATTTAAATTTAAGCTGCAGGACTAGTTAAGACACCAGCTAAGGGACTGGGAATCTAACAACACAGAATTACAGTTTCCAGTATGTTAATACGCAGATTATGTGAACACTTTTCGAAACAATTTCAATTTGATGATTATTCTTGAGTAAGAAACAAGATAAGTGGCTGTCAGAGGACAGAAGATGGACAACGGTGGAGAACAATAACAAGGACAATAGCAAATCAGTCTTAGTGGGATATTGTTTAATCTTGGGGTGCAGACAAACTCACACATCACACCCCATCACACCCGGCTTCCGGGAGAAATTTACAGTTGCACAACTGGATTACTTGCAGGCCTGGACATTTTATGGACTTTAATGAGTGAATTGGAGGACTCTTGTCTCTGAAGAGGAAGAAAGCAGAGGATTCATATCTCTGGTCTGGTTTGGACTTCACTGGCTTCAAGGCACAATGGGGTGCAACATGTGTGTGATGCAGAAGCCGGAGGAGCAGTACAGAGTCATGTTCCAGGTCAGTATCGTTTTCTTCTTCGACGTTCGGTTGGACACCAGCCCCAGCCTACATGCGCCCCATTCTTTGCGACACTACATCTGTCGCTTCTTACTGCCTGCTATTTACTTACCTCCTCACATGTTGGTCCTTTACGTTCTTAATGTTTTACTTGTTGCCTACATAGACTGTATTGCCAAAAGTATGTGAAACCAGCTTGTCTAACACCTCATTCTGAAACCAAGGGTATTAATATGAAAGATGAAGTTGATTGGCCAGTTGCTGTTATGATAGCCTGTACTCTTCTGGGAAGGCTTTCCATTAGAAGTTGGAACATTTCTGGTGGGATCTGCTGCCATTCAGGTTGGGTATTGATGGTAGGTTATCAGGTCCCTTTCTGTGAGCTTGTGTGGCCGACCGCTTCAATCTGAACATGCTCCCAGACATTCTGACCTTCACTCATAATCACAACACTCGTTGTTGACCAGGACTGAAATGTGGTGACCTGACTTGTCGGAAAGATGGTGTCCTATAATGATGCCAAGTGAAAAGTCACTAACCTCTTCTGCACAAAGACCCATTCTGTAGCTAATGTTCACTGCAGGAGATTGGGTGACTGTGCTTGATTATACACCTGTGACTGCAATGGCCATGGCTTAATTAGGCAATTCCTCTAATTACTAGGTGTGTCCACATACTTTTGCCCATATTGTATAATGTATACTGCATATACGTAGTAAATCAAGTATTCCTACTGAAATCCACTCTTCTGTGATGCATCTAATCACGCACAAATAAGTATTCTGTATCTCATAAATTATGCTTCATAATTTGAATGTAAACAGAAAAATGCAAATTCTATACTCCAAAATATGAAGGAAAGTGCATTCTACGACGTATAACGTTTTATCATGAAGATCACCATATTTGAAAAACATTTACACCTTAAATAATTTCAAGGATCAACAACATGCAGTGATCACACAACACAGCACAAATTCTGATTTGCTTGTCTTAGGATCTGTGCTGTCGTTGTGATCAAGCAATTAATTTTTTCTGGCGTCATCATTGACTGCATTGCTTCCGTGATGTCATCACAGCTTTGAAATCGATTTTTCTTTCAGTTTGCATGAGCGATCGTACAGTGGAAATGCAATGTCAGTGATTCACTGAGATGCTAAAAGGTCTCTTCAGAGCAAACTAATACCGCTGGATTAACAGCCAAACACAGGCTCCTTAAAGGCTCTAGACAGCAGCCCAAATCCCCAGTGTCCAGCTTAGAGGCACTGGGACTCCTTAATTATTTTCCTTAGCGAATGCCTTTATGAAAAGCAGCTTACTTGGTTTCATGTGTTACCTGCCGAAATGTTTGGATGAATTCGGAATATGTGCCTTTCATACAGGTATCGCAGCAGGACCAATCCTGCTAGTCACAATGTCATAACAATCACAGAATCAGACACAACAACCTATGACCGCATCCAAAATCACATACTTGTTTGCTATATAATAGGCATAATCTAGTGAGCAGTATGCCTGAATCATCAGTATGGATGAGATGATAGGCAATTTGTACCTCAGTGGCATATTACATTCTGGAAGATCACAAAGTCAGCAACCAATGGTCAATACGCTGTCCCACAAGGTCACTGGAGCTACAATCAGAGATGAAGTCATTGCTGAGATATTTTTGCCTAGATGATGGAGGAAGTGGCATCCCTGCACAAATTTAAGTAGAAAACAATACCCAGTTACATAAGTTGAGTTGAATATGTATTTTTTCGTTGATAGTTTTTAACATACTTTAACTTTCATGGGGGTCAAGCTGCATTATTGGTAAAAATTCGGGTTAGGTAATATGGCAACCACGATATGTCCAAGTGCATGCATACTATCCTCATGCATACAGACAGTATGTACTACATCGAGAGTCAAGTAGTTTTGGATGCATCCTATATTATTAACATCCGTCACTGATGAGTTATGGCCAATGAACTTCAACTTGGCTCAAAAAAAACTAATGAAACATTCCTACAAGAAAAAGCACAGTGTGGCATGTAGGCTTTCTCTGAGAATTACTGCACTGAAAATAACACGTCTCTACACTTTCATGCTATTTATAACCACAGACAGAGAGCTGGGCATGTAGTGTATCAAATTAACACAACAGACTTCTCTGTATTTCTTCAAAGTGTCTCACATGAAAATGTCTAGTGCAGTCTGGTGGTGTCTAACCAGTTGTCCTAACACGTAAATAAATTACATGGATTAGTGAGCACATATTAGTCACCATAATTAAACGTATTCCCAATAAGACTAATTATGATTTATTGTATGAAAGCTGCTTGCTGACAGTAACATACAAATTAAAAAGCCATACATACCAGTAGATATATTACATACCAGGTAGCAAAAGTGGCTAAATCCTATGATTGGCAATGGATTCAGTATTGGTGTAGTCATTGTCATAATTACTATAAGCTCGTGCCCTTGCACAATCCCCTTACATGCCCTGTGTGTGTATTCAGTTCAGGAAATAGTCAGAGTGCTGATATCTCTGTGTAAAATAAGGGTCAGGAGCCGCAGGTGAAGTTAAATGTAGGTGCTGCTCAGAAGGGGTGTGGCTTTGTCTCCAGGGGCAACAAGCCCAATCAGGTCTGGACACAATGTGCAGCTTCCAGTACAGATACATGAAACACCCAAAAAGAACATCTCATCTTTCTGTGTGCATGCACCTACAAGAGGAGGAAAAATGTTTGTGCCACACAAGGACCTTTCAGAAATAGGCCTTAATTAATTAGGGTTCATTAGCATACCGAGGCCAATATGCGACAACAATTGACTGGTGTATAGGAGTCGATTAGAGGTTCCACCTGATCTTTGTAGACAGGCAATCCGGTATGATGTAACAAAAAGTATCTGGAGTCTGTCAGGTATTGTATGGCTGAACTTCTCATGCGTAGCTAGTGTGGCATTCAGGAAATACCTGTTGTGGTACAATCAGAGGTTATAGAATGATTAGGAGGTGGGAATGAGCAGTAGAGAGCAGACTTTCAAATTGCCCATATTTTACCTCTCTCTCCTTCCATTTGTCTGCGACGCAGTGGAGAGCAAGAGAGTTACGTTGCCACGGTTACAGGTCTAGCAGCAGATGCTAAGAGAAGGAAAAATTAGAATGTGCGTCTGCGTTTTAGTCGTTTTCGTCTTGAGGAAAACATTTCACAGATTATACTTTGAAATGAAACAGTCTGTGAACCACCGTTTGAGATACACGAGTGTTTGCTGGCAGGCACTGTGTCTGTCCCTGTCTGTTCTCCTTTATCAGGTATAGTAATTGGAATTTGAATTGGTACCCCAGTATTCCAGCATGGGGGATGGGTGCTGGATGTAACCTAGCGCACAACACGTCTAAACTGTTTGTTCTTGATGTTCCTCAACCGAGTCTACATATTCATGTGCGTGCACCTCCTCTGTGCTCACCGGCGCACCAACTGTCACAAAGCAAATGCAAAGAAAACGAAACAGTCCACAGTGTTTCCGCCGGCAACGGCTGATCACAGAGCTGCACTGAAAAGCCCATGGACGGGGGAGGTCTTTTGGAGCACTCATTCCATCACAAAGGGAATGTGGGGGGGCTCTGCGGCCTTCCCAGGGGAATCTCTGCACAGGCTATAGAAGAACTTGTGTCCATGACGAAAAAGCAGAGCAGAGGACCCTCCCCACACAGCCCTTACCACCTGCAAACGAACCTATGCAATAGGACTGATCATATACATGTGTGTTTATACCAGTAGTATAGTAGTTTTCATTCCAACCCACGCTGCTTTCAACCTGCCACATCCATTATCAGCCTATTAGGGACCATGTAAACCTGATTAAGGTAGGGTTGGAATGAAAACATTCTGTCAGGGAGGGGGGGCCAGGAACACGATTGAAAACCACTGATTTATAGAATCATGGTTATACTAAATTGTGCTTAATTTTAGATTGTAGATCTCCTGGAAAATCGTGTGTTCCTTTACCAAGAGCAGTAACATTCACAGAAATATTAATATATGATAAATACTATATGAAGGTATTATTGAGGTTTTCAATAGGCCAGCTATGGGAGGTGTCACTAATGAAAGTAGCCACAGCCGTTCACCTGCCTCTCACATTGTTGTTCATAATTTTTTTTATTTATCTTTCTGCCGAATTCTCCCCTCTGCCTTCATCTGCCTGTGTTGTTATAGATGAGTTCACTACAGCGGAGTCCTCAAGGTGAATTTCAATTGTGAGTCTGAGAAAGCGTATAAATATCAACCTGCTCTTTATTAGAATTTCATTCCCACTTAAAGGAAACATTTTGTTGTTAAGCTACAGTTATACACTGAAATGTCTTGTTTGTGTCTGGATACAGAATGAAAAAACAGATGTTCCCAATCACTGCATCATCCAGTGACACATAGGTGCTAAATAACATCTGCCATACTCCCCCCCCCCCAAAAAAAAAAAAAAAACAACTGCAAATGCAGTAGTTTGAAAGAAACTGATGATGTGTTCTTCAAACCCAGAAGGAAATTAATAGGATAGTTTTGCTGAATGTACATTTTATGCCAACCCATTTTCTCTTCAACTTTTCTAAATATGCTCCACAGTTTAATTTAGCTTAAAAGTAACTGAATTTGCAAAAACATTCCATTTGTCAGGAGATCATGATGCTGTACAGGTTCTACAGCGTGTGCATCCTGGGTATCCCTGCAAATGACTTTTAAGATGGAAGATCAGACCTGAACCACTATGCTGACCACAGACTCCCTGCCTACTGTGGAGTGGTTCAGCAGCTCCAGAACACCAGCCTGGCCACACGGCATAGAGGTTCTTACACTTCCTCCGTTGTGTTTTTTTTTCCGTGCTTAAGCCCCCCAACATTATTCTCCAGCGGCCTCTCCCCCTCTCGCTCCCACCACAGGCTGTCAAATTTGTCTCGATGGGATGCTGTTACCACAGCAACTGAAGTCATTAAGCAAGACTAATGTGCT